GGAGTCGATTCAAGGTCAGCCATATCCATAGAGGATATCGAGAAGAGTCAAGATTAAAATCTTAGGCCTAAGGCTGAACTTGAAGTTGTGCTTTCCCAGTTAGAGGCCCTTCGAGATGAGGTGAAAAACGGCGGTCAATCGACGCTGAGCTCAGGCACACAGGACCCAGCAAAGGACAACCCGGACAGTACAAGCGATATGTGGACCTTGATCGGCGATGTTTGCGATAAGTTCCAGGTGCCTCTTGCATCTTTAACTTATGCTTGAACTTATGCTCAAAACCAGAAGCGCCATATCAGGGAAGCTAAACTTAAAATTAAACACAAAAGACACATGTAAAGTTAGCACTGCCGCGCCCGACAGCCTTTAAATTACTCTTGCTTTCCTCTGACCAGCTGCTCGCACAAATCGCTCACTGACAGTCTTAGGGATGTGTTTGTGCGCAGACAGGATTGATATAATTTTACAAACATTGATGGAAAGTCGGAAAACTTGTATTTCAAGGTTCTGATTAGGAACCCCAAAGAGTACACGTCGGACTTCTTGCTTTGCTTGCCATTTACTTGGCCAAGCTCGGGCGCAAGATGCTTGAATTGTTGCATATCAGCAGGTGTAACATAAACCTTGGGGCTTATTTGATCTCTTGCTTTTGCAAAGTCAATTAAAATTGCTTCTGCTTCGGCTAGACTATTTCCATCCAGTACAACATTGTTTATTTTTATGTCATTGTGTAAAATCTTGACTTTTTCGTGGATATTCTCTATCCCGCTGCACAGTCCACTAAGCACGTTCGTGAAGTTTATTATCGCGCCTTCTGCTGAAATATCAGCCAAGTTCTTCTGATTGCCATCTACATTGTAGAAAGGTGTGAAGATGTCACATCTGTTTTCACGCTCCACAATGCCGATAAGACGAGCGACATTTGGATGTATAATCTTGGCGGTTATCTTCGCTTCGTTCTTGCCTGACGCGTAGTTTTGCTGTTTTTTAACAACAACTAGCCGCGCTCCGTATCTTGCTATGTTACAAACTCCGAAGCACCCTCGTCCAATAACCGTCGGTAAATCTGTTAAAGTGCCTTCTTCCTGGACAGGAACATTTCCTTCTTCTGCCTTCTTCCACTTCGAATAAAAATGCAACGCGTGTTTGTGGTACTGTTCGGCCGTTTGTGATTCTTTAGATTTTGAAGCATTGGGCTCTTTAGCTGCTTCATCATGCTGAAGTTTTGCCGTTTGTCGAAAGTTGCGACATCTTCTTTTTGGGTTCTCGGCCGTTTCATTTTGCTTTCTTTTTTTGCGACTTTTGGAACTCCTTTGAGCTCTCAGTAATTTTGGGTCAATGACTTCCTTTGACGACATTATGAGAATTTTTAGAATGACAGACGGCAAAGTAGGGACTCCTGTCATGATTCAATACCATCATACTCTGCGGTTCCTTTGCTCCCGTTGTGCGCATACAATTTGGAACCGGCTTGACGGGAAAAGTGTTTTAGGTTTTGTGTTGCACTGAGCTATGCCTTGTATTTAAACACTTTTATCACAGAGAGCAATGCACCAGAATGAGTTCATTTTATGCAGCTTGCTAGCATTTGAACACGTCAGAATCTCATAGAGAAAAGGCTGTCTATTCAGAAGGAAATAACCAAATCAAATTTATGACAAATAATCACAGAAACCTCGGCACGCAGAAGTTATATTCACAAATTATAGTTGTTTGTTGGTTTACACACTTTTAGTGATAATTATTTGATCCTTGGAGTTGGGTGCTAAAAGTTGCTTTCCTTTGTAGGTTTTTTGTAAGTGGCGCGAAATTGCGACAACAATGAGACACAAAGTGTTTGATGATGACATGGAAGAAGAAATTGATGTCTTTGATTTAGAGATTAGACAACTATGTTATGAAGTCAGTGCACTGTCTTTTTATGTAGTGGTTTTGGGTAATCACCTAGTTGGCTTGCTCGCGCGTAAAGTAGGGGAAAGTGCTCTCAGTACGGTCAATTGTCATTAACGTGTTAATCGCGTTCTCTTTTTCCTTTTTTACAGTGCAAGGAATGGGGTTTTTGTCTCAGGGACCTGTTTGGACTCGGGCTCGGCACAGGTGACTATGGCCATTTAACTGTTGAACACACCTCCATGTTACTAAGGAACTTCAGATCTTTACGTGACTACAGCAATCAAGGCTTTGAGACCTCGCATAAACTGCAAAAGCAGATATATAGCAGGGCGACTAACCACGACGGCAGTGGTGAAGCTTCTTCATGTAAGTAACAAGTACAATCGAATTGCTGTCAATTGATAAACCAACAGTGAAATAAAAAAGAAGAAAAAACCTTTTTCTGTTTTCGTTTTAATAGTTGTATATATCATATGGGCTAGTGAAGACGTTTGCAGAAATTTTCTGTACAACTATGGTAAATTCCTCTTGCCAAAAAGCGCTTCATTTTAAAGCAAGTGTCAACTTTTCGGAATGCACTGCAAAATGAGTGAGTTGTATCCCATTTTATACTTTTGCAGAAAGTGCAAGAATTTTTTCTTTTACTGTTAGCAACGAGATGATCAAACAAAACGTTGCCTGTTGAACCGGCATTTCATATAAAATTCAATTATTTATTAATGCATACTTCTGTATCTTCTTCAGTGGACCAGATATTAACTCACCATTACGCTGAAAGGCTTCTGTTCTTAAGGCTTTGTTTCAGAAATGCTAAAGAATGCGCAAGAAAAGGTAATACAGTTCATCAGCACTTAGGGAACTCAATCCGCATCTATCGTTATTTTAAATACCATTGTATTGCAAAAAAAAAAAACCATTGATGGAAACGGCAGTGTTTTTTGAATCCTATCAAGGTCATTCGGTGAATGAAAGCTGAAGTATGAGTATTTACAATAAAAAATGCATCCTAATGAATATAATGACGTATAAAAGAGGATGGCGGGCAAAGGGAAAAAGACACCCATGCGCACTCGATGACGCTCCAACAATGTTTTGTTTATTGGATTGCCCCACAATCAAGTTTCAACAACAAAATCTGGAGTCGTTTGTTTCATTTAATCTAAACATATATGATACGATTCTAGTGTCATATCCTGTATGGCTGTCATTTTAGAACTCAGAGACTTCGGAAAATTTCACCGACATTTCATATTCATTAACACTTGCTTTTCTTTCTCTGTAGGAAAGAAATTTTACTTCCGAGGATGTGGCTGGTCGAACACCATTAGTACAAAGAAGTGGAGTGCAACACACAAGCGCTGGATTGACGTTATGGACTAGTTGTTTACCGCATTCATGGGTAAAGACTTCCTCGCGTATAGGTATACTGAAGATGTGGCTGGTCGAGCACCATAAGTACAAAGAAGTGGAGTGCAACACACAAGCGCTGGATTGACGTTATGGACCAGTTGTTTACCACATTCATGGGTAAAGACTTCCTCGCATATAGGTATACTGAAGATTTATCTTGTGTTGTGGTAGAAGAGAATTGCCCCTTGCTCAAGTACGATGACGCTGGTTGAGACAACATTGGCAAGATGAAACTAATCAAACGTCAATGGCTAGAAAGTGAGATGCCGTGTGCACGAAAAAAAAAGAAGGGACGTATTCCGAAAAAAAGTCGCTGAAAGCTATTCAAGACCCGCAAGGGAAAGAAGAACAGTCGTTACTCATCCGTGGTTTCTTCCTCTTCCTCAAAAAGTATGAGTCCAGATAAAAAGAATGCCTCGCCAAATCTTCGCAACGCAAAACGCAAATCGAGATTGGCTTCATCTGTGAATACCAAACGAAAACCGCCATCATCAACATCAGACTCCACAAAATCACAGGAATTGTGCCTCCCCCAAACTCACCGATGTCTCTTTGGGTTTTCTAACAGAAAACGTAAACAGCAGTCACCTTTAACAACTTCATATCCGAAGCGTAAAACATCATTGTTTTCAACACCTCTGGCTACTTCAACGCTATCATCGGACAGAAGTGGACCACCATCACCATCGCCTTTGGACGCTTCACCACCGCTTTCAGCTGACTGCAGTCTATTATCTTTATCACCCTCGGCCTCTACACCGCCGCTATCAGTCTTCAGTGGACAACCATCACTGTCAGCTTCAGCTACTACATCACCGTCATCAGCCTCCACGTCGTTAGCCAGTACGATACAAACGACTTGTTCAGCAAACTTGCTCGAGAACGTTACATTGACGACACTGTAATAGACACAGCAATTTCCAGATTGCAGTGTAAATGTGATTTAAACGAGTATTTACTCTGTCTTCCAGCGCACACTATTACCTGGCTCAACACTGGAGAGAGAAGCTTTATCCGGCAATGTTTTGATGAAATGTTGCAAAATGTCAAGCCTGGCTTATTAAGCTTGGTATTGGTTCCGGTAAACATGGACAATGTACATTGGGGACTAATGGTCCTCGATGTAAAAAACAAAGAAGCGTATTTTGATGATGGCCTTGGATATTCTTTCTCCAAAACTTCTTATGTCTTTCTTATCATGAGTGAGCTTCAGTCCAAGTTTCCAGACTGCGATGACTTTTCTCTGGATGACTGGCGTAATGTAAAAACAT